TTTAGGAGAACAAGCTTTCAACGTTATTCAAGAGAGTTCATGCAGATAATGTGACAACCTATGTGTCAATTAAAAAAATCAATAAATCTGATTTATGAACTTTGAACAATTCTAACAAATCTCTCACAATTCTGTTTCTGCAGTCAAAATAAATTGAAAATAAATTCAAGTATTATTAATTTATAAAGTGATAGCAAAACCGCTGAAGATTCTAAAATATTAGTCTTAAAAGTCTGATTTAAAAAATCAAACTAATTTTGATTTAAATTATAAAGCCGAATATAATTTAGCAAATAATGTTCTCTAAATGCGGTTAAATTAAATGTTGGCAGTTGTTCATAGACTATTGATGAAGTAATTATTAATGATATAAATAACAATAGAATTTCAATGGAAAATAAGGAGTTATTAAGTAAAACTGGATCAAAAAACATGCTTTCAACTGTTACAAGTTCCAAGAAATCCAGTAATTTAACATCAACCATAAGTCAAGTAAATGAAAAAAAAAGAAATGATGAGAAAACTCCGTGCCGTGTCTTTGGAGAAACCCTAAGTGGTTTAGATTCTGTAATCAATACAAATGAGTGTAATGAAGATTCTGTATCTATAAGTATAATTAAAAGTAACAAAAAAAATGATAAAATTGAGAAAAAAAGAGATGAAAGAAATACAAAAGATTTACAAGACGTAATGGAGATCTGCAATGAACAACGTAAGAGACTTGATATAAAAGACGAAGAAGAAAGTGAGAGAAAAGTAATTGACAAAAATTCAAAAATACATAATGAAAGGAAAATCAAAAAAAGGGAGATGGGAATTAGACCAGTAGTTACAGAAGAAATCATCGATATATGTAGTGATAGTGATTCAGAAAAATTATTAATAGATGAAGACAATTGTACACATAATATACATAGAACTCAAATGATTGAAGGAATAAATATGTCAAAAGTTAATTATCTTAACTATGAGGAAATTACCGCTGAGAATGTTCGAAAACAATTAAAAGTTCAATTGCCAAACTATGTTATTTTAGGAACGGTTAATGATTTAAATGGAAACTCATACCACAAAATTATGAAACTTATAAAAAATGAAGATGTTCAAAATCAAAATGATACAGAACAACCGATTTTTACCTCAGAAATTTTTTATAGAAGGAATGGAAATAAATTAAAGGAGATTAAAGAGGCTCAAAATGTAATTAAAGTAGCTGAAAAAAGCAAAGAAATACAGATAATTGATGAAGACAGAAAGAGAAACGAAACTGAACAGATATCGCAAAATGAATTAAATCAAATAAAGAACACAAAATGTAGTGAAATAAATAAAAGCTATGACACAATTAATGATGATGTTCGAAATATAATATTGCAACCATGTGTTATTAAAGACACTTTATCTGATACCGATGGAAATTCATATAAAACTAATGAGGAACTTAAAACACAGACAGAAGGGGCCGGATCACAAATACAAACTAATGAACTACAGTGCAAAGAAGCTGAGGAAACTGAAAAACAAAGAACTGCTGAAGCCGAAATACAAAGATCTAAATAAGGTAAGAAACAAAAAGCAGACAAAATTATATCCACAAAAGTTAAGCGAATAATGCCCAAAAGAGCTTGTAAACCAAAATTAGAAAATACCAAAAACTGTACGATAAAAATAATGTTAGATCAAAAAAAGTATGAAAATCGATTCATAAAAAAAAAGTTAAGAAATCAAATACTCCTAACAAACTAACCACAAATAAAATCTTTTAGATCATCGAAATCAAGTTCAATAATGTACAAATCCATACATTTCTAACTATGAGTTAAAAAACAAACTGAGAATTCAGAGATAGAATAGGCACGCAATAGTTTTCTCAGTACTCACGTTTATAACGTATAGGACAATCGTTCTTATGAATATCATTTCATCATTTTTTTTTCTGATGAGGTCCTAGATTTCAGAACTTTTTCTAACCTATAATATCCTTTATTATTTACTCTTGTTGTATTTTTGACGATACTTCTGACTTAAAGTAGTTATGCTGAGTTAAAATCAATCCCACCTTCAGAATATTATGTTCGCCAATCCAATCAATGCAAGTGCCGAAATTATAATATTTGTTTTTTTTCTTGTTTATAATTTTTTATAAAGTGTAGTTATATAATATTTTAAATTGTGCATATATTGTATGTATTATTTTATAATTTGTATTGTATTGTATTGTATATATATTTTTATACAGTCTAAAATATATTGTAAATATTTTTTTTGTGAGTGTATTTATATAAAATTGTTAATAATATTTTATATTGTGTATATATTGTATGTATTATTTTATAATGTGTATGTACAGTATATATGTTTTTATAAAGCCAATAATATATTTTAAATATTTTTTTCGTCTTTGTATTTAAATATTGTATGCTTTTTTTTATTGTATGTACTTATATAATGTATAGTATATTTACAAATCGTGTTATTAACTGTAAATATTTTTGATAATGTGTAGTTGTATAATATTGATAACAATATTCTTTATTGTGTATATATTGAATGTATTATTTCATAATGTGCATGTATTGTATATATTTTTTTATAATGTAAATACAATTATATATATACTTTTGCATAATGCGTATGTTAATACAATTATCTGAGTACACTGTGCAGTGTGTATGCCATGACCACCATCAAAAGACAGATAAAATAATCTGTCAGCCGCCCAGTCGCGACAGCCGGGGATCGCGGGGAGGAAATTTTTTTGTACCGCTGAGGTAGTCCATTGCCATCGTTGTGCCACAAACAAGCCATATTCAATGTAACAAAAGTTCGTACGTTCATGTACCATCGACAGCCTCTCATCGAAGTGGGAAAATAAATTTAATTGTATGGCTGAAAAACAACGGCCGTCCTCGTGAAGAGCAGGGCAGACCAGCCGTTCAACTATACGGTACGTCATTTTAAATTATAAAATCGTGCAAATGGTTATAGTACACATTATGATATTGTGCATAAATCGTTGCTGTGTAGTTAGTCGCCCGCATATCAATATCTCCAAGTAGGTACATTTCTCCTGACCACGGAATCCACCATATCAATATAACAACACGCCGTACCGCCACCGGTAACAGGTCGTACGTTTTTATCCATTGTTAAAACTGTTTGTTTATTATAATTATTCTTCTGTGCTCTGAACTTACAATAATTATTACGCTGTATCGTGCGTGATCAAATTAAAAATTAATTAACATAGGTTAAAGCTTATAATATACAATTATATTTATTACTTGAATACTATTTAATATTGTCACATACTATTCACTGATTTTTCATCTGAGTATATATACCCACTGTTGGTAATTTTCTAACTGAAATGACTTATTTTGGTATGTGCAATTTTTTTTTACAAACTACATAATGCTGAAAATAATACATTTTTACAGTTTTACTGCTGTATAGATAATTTAATGTGTTTCAAATATAATTCACATAGTTGTTTCCCTAATAATCAGCCTCTAATTTGTATTTATATAACTTGTCTGTTTAAAGGCATGCTCACAAATATCAAACCAAAATAAGTTTTTTTGTGTGTGCCATTTTTTGTAATTTTAAATTACATAATGCAGAAAATCCACCATTTTTTCAGTTTTAATGCTGTGTAGATAATTTTATGTGTTTCAAAGTTTATTAACATAGATGTGGTTTGATTACAAATTCCACATTTACACATAATTTCCCTAGTATACATCCTATTTTCTGTACTTTTCTGTAACCTTTCGTATTTAATTAATTGGTCTGTTTCAAAGCGTGCCACAAATATCACTTTGCAATGGATTTTCACCTGTATGTACCCTTGTATGTACTCTTAAGCTACATTATGCTGAACATATTTTCTTGCAAATTCTACAATTTTTACAGTTTTTCCCCAGTATGTATCCTTGTATGTACACTAAAGCTGCATTGTGCTGAAAACAATTTCTTGCAAACTCTACAATTTTTACAGTTTTTCCCAGTATGTATCCTTTTATGTATTCTTAAGATGCATAACGCAGAAACTATTTTCTTGCAAATTTTACAATTTTTACAATTTTTCAACTATATGTATCCATGTATGTACCCTTAATCTGCATAATGCTGAAAATATTTTCTTGCAAACACTTCTATTTAATGGTTTTTCAATTGTATCTACCTTTGTATGTACTCTTAAGATGCATTATGCTGAACATATTTTCTTGCAAACTCTTTTATTTATAGGGTTTTTCACCTGTATGTATCCTTAGATGTACTCTTATGCTGCATTATGATGAACATATTTTCTTGCAAACACTTCTATTTAAAAGTTTTTCAATTGTATGTATCCTTGTATGTACTCTTCAGCTGTTTAAAGCTGAAAATATTTTGCAAATTCTACCTTATTAGGGTTTTTCCCCTGTATGTATCTTTGTATGTACTCTTAAGCTGCATTATGCTGAAATTATTTTCTTGCAAATTCTGCAATTTTAACAGTTTTTCCCCAGTATATATCCTTGTATGTACACTTAAGCTGCATAAGGCTGAAAATATTTTCTTAGAAATTCTACATTTTACGGGTTTCACGGCAGAATAGATAATTTTATGTGTTTCAAAGTTTATTAACTTAGATGTGGTCTGATTACAAATTTCACATTTACACATAATTTCCCTAGTATGCATCCTATTTTCTGTATTTAAATAATTTTTTCTGATTCAATGCGTGCCACAAATATCACTTTGCAATGCTTTTTCCCCGGTATGTATCCTTGTATGTACTCTTAAGCTGCATTATGCTGCACATATTTTCTTGCAAACTCTTTTATTTATAGGTTTTTTCACCTGTATGTATCCTTAGATGTACTCTTAAGATGCATCATGCTGAAAATATTTTCTTGCAAACTCTACTATTTTAAGTTTTTTCACCTGTATGTATCCTTGTATGTACTCTTCAGCTGTTTAAGGCTGAAAATATTTTGCAAATTCTACAATTTTTACAGTTTTTCCCCAGTATGTATCCTTGTATGTACACTTAAGCTGCATTGTGCTGAAAACAATTTCTTGCAAACTCTACAATTATAGGGTTTTTCACCTGTATGTATCCTTAGATGTACTCTTAAGATGCATCATGCTGAAAATATTTTCTTGCAAACTCTACTATTTTAAGTTTTTTCACCTGTATGTATCCTTGTATGTACTCTTCAGCTGTTTAAGGCTGAAAATATTTTGCAAATTCTACAATTTTTACAGTTTTTCCCCAGTATGTATCCTTGTATGTACACTTAAGCTGCATTGTGCTGAAAACAATTTCTTGCAAACTCTACAATTATAGGGTTTTTCACCTGTATGTATCCTTAGATGTACTCTTAAGATGCATTATGCTGAAAATATTTTCTTGCAAACTCTACTATTTTAAGTTTTTTCACCTGTATGTATCCTTGTATGTACTCTTCAGCTGTTTAAGGCTGAAAATATTTTGCAAATTCTACAATTTTTACAGTTTTTCCCCAGTATGTATCCTTGTATGTACACTTAAGCTGCATTGTGCTGAAAACAATTTCTTGCCAACTCTACAATTATAGGGTTTTTCACCTGTCTGTATCCTTAGATGTACTCTTAAGCTGCATTATGCTAAACACATTTTCATGCAAATTCAACATCTTTAGGGGTTTTCCCCTGTATGTATCCTTGCATGTACTCTTAAGCTGCATAAGGCTGAAAATATTTTCTTAGAAATTCTACATTTTACGGGTTTCACGGCAGAATAGATAATTTTATGTGTTTCAAAGTTTATTAACTTAGATGTGGTCTGATTACAAATTTCACATTTACACATAATTTCCCTAGTATGCATCCTATTTTCTGTATTTAAATAATTTTTTCTGATTCAATGCGTGCCACAAATATCACTTTGCAATGCTTTTTCCCCGGTATGTATCCTTGTATGTACTCTTAAGCTGCATTATGCTGCACATATTTTCTTGCAAACTCTTTTATTTATAGGTTTTTTCACCTGTATGTATCCTTAGATGTACTCTTAAGATGCATCATGCTGAAAATATTTTCTTGCAAACTCTACTATTTTAAGTTTTTTCACCTGTATGTATCCTTGTATGTACTCTTCAGCTGTTTAAGGCTGAAAATATTTTGCAAATTCTACAATTTTTACAGTTTTTCCCCAGTATGTATCCTTGTATGTACACTTAAGCTGCATTGTGCTGAAAACAATTTCTTGCCAACTCTACAATTTTTACAGTTTTTCCCCAGTATGTATCCTTGTATGTACACTTAAGCTGCATTGTGCTGAAAACAATTTCTTGCAAACTCTACTATTATAGGGGTTTTCACCTGTATGTATCCTTGTATGGACTCTTAAGATGCATTATGCTGAAAATATTTTCTTGCAAACTCTACTATTTTAAGTTTTTTCACCTGTATGTATCCTTAGATGTACTCTTAAGATGCATTGTGCTGAAAACGATTTCTTGCAAATTCTGCAATTTTAACAGTTTTTCCAAGGTATGTATCCTTGTATGTACTCTTAAGCTGCATCGTGCTGAAAACAAATTCTTGCAAACTCTACTATTATAGGGATTTTCACCTGTCTGTATCCTTAGATGTACTCTTAAGCTGCATTATGCTGAACACATTTTCATGCAAATTCTACATCTTTAGGGGTTTTCCCCTGTTTGTATCCTTGCATGTACTCTTAAGCTGCATAAGGCTGAAAATATTTTCTTAGAAATTCTAC